TTAATAACTTCCAAATGTTCTCTATCGGGTTTAAATCAGGGGAATTTGCTGGCCAATCAATAGTTGCGATTTTATTTAACTTAAACCATTTCTTTGTAATTTTCGCGATATGTATGGGTGCATTGTCTTGTTGAAAAACTGCTGGTCTTCCCGTTAATTCACGTATTGTACTTTGAAATGGAAGTAAATATGAATTTAGGATAGTAATGTAAGTATTTAAATTGATTTTTTCATTTCCTTCTTTGTTTTCATCACAAAAAATTAAAGGCCCTTTTGTTCTTCCAATGAAACATCCCCAAACCATTACTGATTTTTGACAACTTTTAAAAGTAGGTGCTAAACATTCAGTATTAAATCTTTCCCCAGTATTCCGCCAAACCCTTATTTGCCATGACTACTTTCCAATCTCAACACTTGACTCATCTGAAAAAATAACTTGTGCCTAATCATAGACACTTTTTTCCTTATATTTTTCACACCAGTTAATATGGGCTTTTGCATGCTTTTCTGAAATAAAAGGCTTCTTTGCAGCAATATGAAAATGAATTCCAAAATTATATAGGGTTTTTTTAACTGTTGTTAAGCCACAGTTTAACCCAAGTGTATTGACAATTTCATGCAAAGGTGCACGTCGTTTTTTTGAAATTTCATTAAAAAGTGCATTTTTTTCATCATTATTAAGAGCAGGAGGACGTCCAGAGCGTGGTAAATTTTCAATATTTCCAGTTTTCTGGTATTTGGTAATAAATCTGCGTATTGTGGTTGGGTCCCGACCCATTTTTTTTGCTATTTGAGCAGGATTTAGACTTTCCATATATGCTAATATTTTTCCCTTATCATGAGAAGTCATTTCGGTATGTGTAGAAGTCATTTTTAACTACACGAAAAATATTATGTAGTCTCAAAAAAACAAATAGATGAGAAAGTTTGGATCAAAATACGGATAAGGATGGCAATAAATACTGTATAACGTTACACATTAAAAATCGGGCATTACTTTGTGATGCGACTGTACACTGTTCATTGTATTTGTATTTCGTTTAAAAAGACTGAAGATTACTATATCATCTCACAAAATGTCATGAGATTTGAAGTTCGAATTTACATTTCGAATGTTTAAAAAAATTATCTGTATTTCGAACTGAACCTTTAAATATTAGATATAATATTCACCACCCTTTTTGTTATATGCAACACCTCAAAGAACCTTCCGTGAAAAACTCATTGGGTGACATTGAGTTTTTTTATAAATTTTTCTCTTGAAATTTTGCATGATTTTGATGGTTATTCAATATACGCATGCACTGCAACATGAAATCTAATCGACTTCAAATCCTTTAATAAATGTTCTTAAGTTAGAGGTTAGCGAAATGATTTAAGCACGAATTATTTTTGGATGTGAGATCTACAAATTTGATAATTGATAAAATATCCAAGCTGATTCCCAAAATCTAAATTGTTAAAGCTTTAAGCGTTAAGGCATTAAAGATGTCAAATACAATTAAAATAAATCTATTTACAAATAAAATTTGGAAGTTTTGCGGTTCATATAATTTATTCGATTTATAAAATTCTGTTTGGAAAATTATTCTACGTTATGTCAAGATTTATTAATGATAATAAATTTCCTAGTTGTTGCATTTTCATTAATTACAACGTCGAAAATAAAACTATCATTATGTAGCTTAATATTTTTAGTATCACGAGGACCTTTCCTTCCACAACAATGTATCAATATTACTGCAGAAATAATTAATATACTGTAACACCTCCAGCAATACTTCCAAAAACACCTCCAATAATTGAAACGCAAGTTTCACCGCATTTACGACGAGGTTGCGGCCACTGAAAGAAGGGTTAGTGCAGCTAACTTTGTTAAAATCTTATTTTTAGCTTGCAGACGGAATATAGTATCATTTAAAACTTTCGCAGAAATGACATCATTGTTCAAACTGTCATTATTGAGTGAGCGCCTCAAAGCTATTGCACGTTCTTTCTTGGTATCAAAGGAATTCCCGTGAAGAAGTACCACAGGACGTCCTATACGGAAGGTGTTCACAAATTATTATTAGAAAGCTAAATACTAAAGCGAGAATTTTACTTACTTGGCCAGTTTAAAGGTAGTAGTCTGTGATGCTGCCATCGTTGTTTATCACGGTTTATCACATTCTCCATTTGCACAACAGCAAAATAGTAAACAAGAGAAACAACGCATAAATAAATTCTTGAAAGTTCCATGGTTTTTTAGAAAAAAAATAAAAAAGAAATTCAAGAAAAGTAAAATTGTTAACCTTTATTATACAGTATATTGTCATTCTTTATTAAAAAGGATTTTATATTAAGTTTCAACCATACTTCATACAGCCCTTCACATCGCGGGAAACGTCACAGGTAAGGAATTCAGCATGATACCTGAATACGAAATAATTTGTGAAAGTTCCAGGCGAGTCGATTATGCAATCAAGGTAAACCTTCGATATCATAGGATACATTTTTTTTGCTTCTCTTTTGCGTTTACTTACCACTGACCATGAATTATGTGAATGGGCGAGTAGGAAGATGAAATCCTTCATTGTGTTACAGAAAATAAGGTCCAGCGTAGCATTCTCGAAGGCTTCACCCAAATTATCAAATAACTTGAGAGTTCGTATGAAACGAACAAGAGGAAACGAAACGAGATGATGGTGATGATTTTGACTACCTTTACGGTGTTATGACAACTGCTAGAGATTGGCATTTCTTGCTTTTTCTCCAGGTGAAATTTCTCAGGCTAGTGAACTCCCCGTCACAATCAAATTTAACAAGAAAGCCTTGGACAAAAGTTCCAACGCATATCAATCGTTGCGTAGTGCTGTGAAAGAGGTTTTGAAAAATAATCGTAGGTTTATTAAAGGATAGGGCATGTGCGGAAGACGATTCTCCCTCAAAGAAAAAAGCTAGAATAGTGGAATATCGTTCGAAAAATAATCATGTATATTAGTCTACAAGCATATCATGTATCACTGGCAAAGTCCCGATCTTTGTATTAATTTTTTTGCATTATTAATAAAGTACCGTGTAGATCTTCACATTTATCATATGCAAAAAAACTAGAAATTATGAGACTGTCATCAATATTATCATTCAAACGAATAAGTGATAACAAGGTAAGTTGGTTTATTGTAGAGGTTGGAACCAGTTAATTTTTAACCGGTTAAAATATTTAATCGGTTCCAACCTCTAGATTATTGTTAGGCTAGCTTCTTGAAACATGTCATTACGACATTAATTGATTTTCCCGCCTCTGTAGATTCCCAAAATAAAACAGACATATTAATTACTCTTCTTGTTTTATCGCCAAGATCATCGTGCAATAGGCGCAGTATAACATTCACATGATTCTCTCCACACGCATCGACACAGAAAAGTATGGCGCGTATATCATGCATATTCGCGTGCCAAATTCTTGAAATGCAGTATTGTACCCAATAATGCAGAAAAGAATGGAATATTGTGAAAATGAAGACTTCCTATAGGATCGAAATTAATCAATCTCAGGGAAGTTCTAAAATTGAAACTTTTATATGATCTGTGCGGATGGGAAAGTTTGTAAATATAGTTTGTAGAAAAGGATGTGAGTATCTCGTATCGTAGTTAGCTATATAGACAGAGAATACTAATAAAATCAGTGAAAAACCTATTACGTAACTCTTCATACGAATGATAATGAAGTTTGAATCACATTATGTCATAATATAATAAATATAAAAAGTTTGAGATAATTTTAGTACCACGTGCCAATAATAAAAAGTCTGATAATTTAAAGGATGGTAAAAGCAGTATTTGTCTCCTACTCTTCATCTTTACACTTTATTCTTCAAATAAATAAATAAAACAGTATTTGTCTCTATTTCTTTATTCTTTACTAAACGTAAGTATCACAATAATGAATATCTGGTTCAAATATAAGAAAGGAGAGCCGGTGGAAATTTCTTTTAAGGGAAAAAACGTTAATGCACTGAAGAAACAAATTAAGACCGAACTAAAAAATCAGCTAGGAAAATTTGATATTAATCAAATAACATTAAGAGCACCTGGAAAACATGAGAACTTATGTGCGGAAATTTTGATTGATGAAGGGTTTGCAACGAGTTACAACGAACCTGTTGTTGTTGAAACTGGTAAGCTTTTAAGTCAACGTGATGCACGCACCAAATGTGACGCTTAACTATCTTTAACACGTGTTTGTGTGATATCTTGCTGTGCTGTTATAATTCTTATTATCATATTAGAAAATTATCAGGAAATGAAGACTTTTCGTATCCAATGTTATGATAATGAAGGTGTGCCATTAAATAAATTTGAACGATTTACAATGTGCGATGAAGATTTCAGTAAATTTTTAAAGAGAGTGGAGGCGAGAGGATTGGAAAACATCGATGATAATAATGAAGAACCCGAAATTATCACGTCGCTTGAGGGTATTCAAGCTAACAAATATTACCGGATAAGTGCCTCGTATCTTACGGCGGTAAAAAATGGAGTTGCGTGGACAAAAGTCGAGGACACGGCATTAGAGGATGAAACGACATTGGCTGTGAAAAACTTCGTCAGCGAAAAATTAAAGTCCCCTGCCAAAAACTTTCCTAACCGAGTTATGCATGACGACGTAGGCAATCCTATAATGGAGTGGGATGGGATTTTCTTATGTCGTAGCAAAGTATTCCTGTGTGAATCAAAGCACAAAATAACCAAGGTAAATAAAAAAAATTAATATGATGTAACTCGTGAATCTGTCGAACAAAGCCACTGACAAATCTGACATTTTAAGGAAAAGCTAGACATGCTTGTTGAACGATTAAAAGACTTCCCCGAAAAACTGAAAGTGACGAAAGATGTCGAATTCAAGCAATTATCAAATATGAAATGTATCGGAGTCGCTTGTGCCACTCTTTTTCCGATAGAACTAAGACAAAAATCTGTAAATGAACTCGGATTAATCATTGCATATCCAGGAGGTGGCCGTTACTGTGTAGATTTACCCTCAAACGTGGATGAATGCCAGCACTGGTGTAATTATATGTAGTGATTTTATATCTAAGTTACGTAACAGAAAATTACTATGTAGTAAAATAATTGTACTTTAGCTTATGTTTGTAATGCAAATCAGTTAATATAAAATTATTTAGTTGCATTGCTCTATATTATTTTTATTAAGGAATTTATTTCAGATCGGAGAAGTAGTTACATTTTGATATACAATCGTAAATACTATTTCATTTAATAGCCAATTCCCTACGTACATCGGAGTTGATAATATTGTTCGTCAGTACCCTGCAAGCATGCTGAGTGAGCATTTAGATTTCATTAACGATCTACGCAAAAGATGTCCTAACTGTATTTCAGCCGATGATATGGAAACTGATGATTTGACGTGCAGAACGATGAAAATCATTTTTATAAGTAAAATTGTGTAACCAATATTACATATCAAA